CGCTAGTAGGCTTAGCCACAAGTTGCTCGGCAACTTTTCGGCAACTTTTGAGATTTTCGGCAACTTTTTAGAATTTTGGCAACTTTTAGAATTTTCGGCAACTTTGGGCTTTTTGAGGTTCTTTGAAGCCACTTTCTTCACGTTTTGAGCCACATTGGTCAGTTTTCGATAGACATTTATTCAATTTATTCTAAAATACAATAATTAGGGGCCCCCCCATGGGTTGATTTTTGTGATGCCTTATCACGAGGTCAGCGGTATCACGTTGCACGTTTTCAAGATGGCGGACAATTACAGTGACTATTTGTTGATCAATTGAAATGGAAAGAACCTCTGATATTATCATTGGACTTTGACAAATAAAGTTTTGATAAGAAGCAATGTGCAACTTTTTAATCTTTAATACCCAAAAAAGGTACGAAAAGCAGAAAAATTTTCAACTTTTCGGCAACTTCTTGGAAATTCAGCAACTATTCGGCAACTTTTTGAAAAAAATAGCAACTTTTTGGCAACTTTTAGACACTTTTATCGGCAACTTTTTTTGAGATTCATCGGCAACTTGTGGCTAGGCCTAATCTTTGTACCAGTTGGTTGTTTTAGTGGCTTTGATTGCACGTCGCTCATTTCAATACACTCAAAGACGAATTTTCGATGGTAAAATAAGGCGCAGAACACTAGATTAGATCACTTTCTCATCCGTTACCTCCGACAGTTAAGACGTGTAAAAGAATGACACTGTACTGACCCTTTATTTCGATATTACAAAGACTGACCTCAGCTTTCGAAAGCTGTCTACAAACGTGCTGAAAATTTGAATTTGGACGCCAACGATTAAGTTTAGCAACCTGGCCTTTAACTTGTGTATGTACCCCTCCTCTCCCCCCACAATTCTTTTTCATGTTGTTATGTTTTTTGTTTTTGAATTTTTTTTTTTTCTTAAGGTGCCCTATCCTAACCAACAAGAGCTACAAAATAAGGCATCCTTGGCTCAAATAGTGAAGTCTTGATGACTTGAGAAGCAGCGGGGCAGCGGGGTTTTGTTACTTCAAAAGTTAGAGGCCAGGCTGCTAGGCAAGTGTGCACAATCTGATTTTAAGTACGTTGGAGGACAGTTTTTTAAACTTTAAATCAGTGTTAAATGGCAGAGATATCCTGGAGCACATAGTGCTTCTTAAGGTTAAAGGCAGCTATGGAGAAGTAAGGTCTCCTCAGCGAATACGTTTAGGATAAATTAGCCTGCGATCTAATCTCGTTCCCAGATCCTACCGCTTGGCCGAGAACGGGTCTGGGTACGAGACTACTTGCAAGCATGCCCTCATTTTTACTGGGCGCACCTTTCTGCGCCCATGGGAAGATTTGATGCGAGCCGGGTAGAAGTTTGCCAGGAGTGCCTCATTTTCAGTGCTGGTTCCCTTACGGACCTATGATCTCGCCGGTTCACGTACCTCAGACCTCATAACTTCTCGCGGGCGACAAAAAAACGCCTGTTCGCAAGCTATAATAAATTTTACATCAGTGGTTCATCTTGTGAAACTAAATATAAATTTTTTTGTTCTCGCCGTAGATAGAGACCGTTTCGAGTTTAATTTGTTTAATTTGCCTTTGAACACAAAGCAAATAATTCGCTTAAAAGTACCAAATTACCAACGATAGGGGAGAGCAATTTTTGATACACGAAGTTGTAGAAAAATTCACGTATCACGTACCACGTACGATAGCATTTCATGCGTACCGAATTTAAAAGGGAAACATCCAAATCTCCAAAAACTCACCGGTCACGCATATTTGATGAAGGAATTCACGCATCATGCACTCTACTTCGTAAATTCACGAATCACTCTTACCTTTTGATAAAATTCACGCATTACATTATTTTGGCCGTAATAACACGTCAAGTATAAATTCTTTGCCACCCTCACGAAAGACCATCTCTTCTTGATAAACAATAAATTCCCCTCTCGTATAAAGACATCACCACCGGCTCACTAAATATTGAGCACTGCAGCGACCTGCAGGCCTGCAGAGGAAGTTTTAAGAAGGAAACATCAAATCCTCGGTGCCAAACCACATGAAAAGCTACGTGTAAGTTCTTAATAGTATAAACACGTACTTCAAACTATCTATATTCGAAGAAAATGTCAGAGTATCTAATAACAGCCCGAGTAAGGCAATTAAGTGCGTCTTCTGTTCGTAAAAACATCTTTCTAACAGCCACTCCTTCATGTCCTCTCTGCTCCTTGTTCCAAAATGAGCGCGAGGGTTTTATCGCGCATGGCTCCCTCGATAAATTCAGACAAAGATAAAACACCGTCCCTGTTCTGATCAAAGTTGTGAAAAACTTTAAGCGTGCGCTCCTCGGGAGTAAGTTCGTCCCAGTTCGGAATGCCTTCGGTTTCTTCCGGATTATCGCCCATCGTTTTGTATAATGCGTCCACGATCCGGAACATTTCTTGTTTCGTTATATGCCCGTCCCCATTCACGTCGTAAATACTGAACGCCCAACGAAGCTTTTGCTCCATTGTTCCTCGAGTCGACACGGAGAGAGAGCACATAAATTCACGGAAGTCTGTGAACAGAAATTATTGGCACATGTCACTTGAAAAATACAATCAATAACATAAACATTGTGTACCTTAGAAACTCAAATAAACCTCCTCTTCTATCAGTCTGGGCCTACTTGAACTATTTAACCGACATCCTCCCTACCCCATCCCCCCTCGTATAAACCTTAGAGGGACCATAATTAGCCCCACATTCTCAGAAAGAAAACAACACCTAATAGTATTTTTCCATTTGAAATCTTTCAACCCTTGAACGCCCAAGATATGATTGTTACTTCTCCCCTCTAACTGCTACACATTACTTGAATACTAGTAGCTACTAGTAACCAGAATTTGGCGTTAGATCAAGCTTCTAACAGATATGTTTGAATATTCTCATCACTGGATGATGCATGGATATCAAAGGGACAACGTAGTTACATGTTAATCACTTCTGGGAGTTGAAGAGCTAAAACCGCGAGGTAACAGTTCTCTGAATGACTTAAAAATTGTAGAAAGTTTGATCAAAATGCAACGCTGACCTTTTGAAAAAATTTTTACCAAAAAGCAGAAAGGATTTTTAAACATATGAGTCAAACTGAGAATGGCCTGAGCTTAGATCGATGTAGAAATGCCTCAAAGAATTGTAAGCTATACTAATTCGCGTTTTTAACCGAAAGTATAGGTATGCAAGATCTGCTCTAAACCTTGGCCCGACAATGCAGATGCACTGTACACATTTCTGACCTGACTCGTTGTTAGAGAACATGAACCGGTTCCAGAAGTATGGTGCGTCTCCTTTAAGCAAGGTAACAGCATCACAGTTTACTAAAAACATGATGCCGTTGTTAATTTCAACGAGGTAGTATGGAAACATAAGTTTTCGGAACTGAACACTTCTCCCTTAAATTCCACAAATTTTAAATTTAGTTTGTCATGCAAACATTTCCTCTAACTACGATAGCTTAAATTTGTTGGAGCAAATATTGTGACGAATAGAGCTTCGTCCGTTTGATTTGACGAATACAAAATTTTTTGACTCTATACATGACTACACATGTAAAATTCGAGCATAAAAAATCTCCTCAACAAAACCAAAATTGAATGATCACAAATAAAATAGTCGGAGGTCTGGTCTATAAACCAACAGAAGTTCCTTTGACATTGAATGACGAACCTTGACATATTTCTCGCTAATTGGTGTTTAATTAAAGGTTTTTTTGCATTTGCAAATCTTTCTAGAGAATTTTTCTTGGATCATCTGTCAACATTACAATCATCTCTTAGTCGTTTGTTAATTACGGAAAGAACATTTCGATGATCAATATTTTGATAACAGAAAGCCAGTTTCGTCAGTTGTCTTTAAATATTAAATAAACTTTCTTTGCTCTTTCGTGTGGCGAAAAAACCAAGGATGATTTGCTGCAAATAAACACGCTTGGAATATTTGGCCAAAAAGTGCATTAGTACTGCGCCGTATGGCGGAGCAGAACGGTGAAGGGTGCGGAAAACGGTCGAATTAAGGAGAGGTCAGAAGTTCCTCGTTCAGCGACAAATTCAGTTAGCAATCTTCTCCCCGCAAGAATTCTGCGTTAAACCATAAGATAACTTCTTATCTACGAGTTATTTTTGGTCTTTCGTTATCAAAAAAAAGTTTGAACCGATGATGATCTAGTGTAAAAAAAACTTTTTCTTCGCTTTCTTTAACGGTGACGCAAACATGGTAAAGATGTACATCAAAAATGCAAAAGAAAAAAAACCCACTGACCTAATCTTCAGAAGCGCAAGTTTCACGCACATACCAAAATTACTAAATGGAAGCTTAAACTTTCACACTCAAAGTTAACTTTTGGACAGCTAAAGCCATTTATTTTTAACACCAGGGCATACTTTGCAATTACCAGATTACTCTTGTCAGAAATTCGAATCATACCTTTGCGGGTTGGGTCTATGGGCTAGCAGCGTTCGAACAAACATGGCTTTGTTTTTGTCCTCTAGTCAACCAAGCGTTCCGGAGAGAGAGTTTGAGATTGATATCTTCCAGTCTTTCGCCTTACAAACGACGAAATAACATAAAATTGTACAGTTTGGTTCTCTAAGCATTCCTGATGTCTCTCCTTGGGGCCGATTTGAAGTTTCTAATTTTGAATCACTTTCCGATTGAAAGGAAAACAGCAAGCGAATATTTCAAAATGTATTACAATTCACTAGGTTCTTCTATTTTTCTATCTTTTTTTTTTTTTTGCAAAGATAAGCAGACTGCTTTGAACCAAACGCTTGTAAAAAACACAAAAGCCTCGAGATTCAACAAGGACAAGTCAGAAAAGGGAGACTATTTTTATTTAATCGCCAACATAAAAGGCCTGTGGCTGAATTGACAACATGAAAATTCAAGAGATCGCTTTGTGAAACTTGCTTCAATTATTAAGAACAGAAAGTGCCTGTTTTCGGCGGAGAGTAACTTCATCATCTTAGGAAGTATCGACAAATTAAAAAGACTGTATGTAGCCGTAATGTTTTATTGTTTGTGTTACAACTAAGTCTTGCATATTTCATGTGAAAATGTGAGTGTCAATGTAAATTCATGCCTTTGATGTAGTAATGAACAGTTTTATAGAGCATGTTCTGCGTTGGCGTAGATTGAATTGAGTTGTTTTGATTCATCCCGTAACACAACAGAATTATTGTAAATCGGTGGAGTATTAAATAGCCCGCGTAAAATGCGTGTACGATCTTAATTTTAGTGGAAGCATTTTCGCTCAAAATGTGTAAAAATCATATATTACAAATTCGATCCAGACAGTTCACTAAATTTCACCCAAAAGAAAGAAAATCTTTGTCTTTTTTTCCGGAAGACTACAGTTCGTTTCCATCGGAGGAATATTATCCTGAAGTGAGGGAAAAAAAATTCTTAAATTATTTTGCACCTGTTTTACAAATTCACACAGAGGCGCTTTTAGAATTTTCTAGTTTTCTGCTTTCATGTCAGCAAAATGCATATTTACATTTTACTTTTATGAAAATTAAGCAGTTTACGGGTAAGGCGGTGCGTTTGTTACGACAGAGAACTTTTCCAAGACTGCGATTTTACAGGGGCCGGAATAAAAATCTTCCCTGCTATTTCCGTGATAGTAGTTTGAAGCAGAAATTCATTTTGATTCAAATTTTGTTATTTATTTTGAATACAGTGCTTCTTTTCTCTATCGATTTCCATCTCCTGTAGCTGTATCCCTTTTCGTGTGTGATCATTTTAAAATATTCACGTTTGACAGAGAAACATACGACCCTCCAATAAAAGCGTCTCTTTCAATAAGCGACCTAAAAATCCAATTACCCTACCAGTGGTAAATTATTCATGCCACTTTGTCATACATTGTAAATGGAAGTCTTTTTTCACTCGATTGTTCCAGCGCGTAAAGACTTTTGTCACCTTTAAGATATATTGAAATCAAGTGTCCCGAAATGGTGGTTTTCTTTTCTTAGCGACATTAATGCAAGATGTCCGCGATAGTATTTAGGGGGTTGTAATCAATAAAATTCGTTTAAATCATTTTTCCTATCTAGAGCTTCACTTGTGATCTCCATGGCTTCGATCGATGAGGACGATGCGCTGTTTTTTCTTAATTTGACTTGCCGGTTTAAATATTATCAGAGTTTCTTTCAGGCGTTTCACTTGGCATGGAAGTGTAAAAACCTTGCACCAAAAAAGAACTGGATCAAGTTATGTTTGGTGGATTTTTTTATTTCTTCAGTTCAAAGATTAACCAAACACCACCTTAAGAATATCACAAATAATTTCAACCTACCAATTTTTCCGTCGCCGTTCACATCAAAGCGCCGAAACACACAAGCGGCAAGTCTTGAAGCATCTCCTTTGTCGAATACTTTCTTGTACATTTCTATAAATTGTTGTTTCGTCAAGTAACCACTCGGACAATCTTTTAGGAAGCCTTTGTACCAAGACTTAAGTTCTTTTTCTTCAAACTTTGTGTTCTTCAGGAGATCACCCAAGACCTCAGGGTCAAGCTTTTTACTTTGCTTTTTACCCATTCTCAAATAAAAGGAAAATCTTCGCTTATCGACCGACACGCCGCGCCCGAGCCAAAGAATTTCAACCAAGATGGCCGTCGCGTGTCCGGTCGGATATCTGGCGCTCTCGACCGCTTTAACTTTCCGGCGACAGTTAACGATCGTTCCGCTAGCGTTCGTTGCTTAGTATGACTGTGAGGCGACGATCGACTCTCCAGATGCACTGCATTTGCTATCGCATTAACAACAATTATTTTCTCTGGCGTCCTATCGAGGCAGAATCAGAAGCTGGTCTTGACATGGTCCAATTACATCAAAAAGGCAAGGCTGCTTTCTTGGCGGGGTATCTGTTTTCTGTCCGTCAAGGAACTGAGAATTTACCGTTATACAAATACCTTAGATCGGCGATCGCTCCGTCATGGACGTATGCGGTCTTGAAAATAGGCTTCAGAAAATGAAAACAACGTTTCCAATCCTCAGCATAAATTAATATTTCTAAGAGAGTCAAACTCGTTCAAATTTGATTGACAATGGATGTGCGTCGTCCTATTCCCGTTGTGGCGCGCTTGAAACCAATCGGAAAAAAAAAATTAAATTGAAACAAATTTTATAGCGAAATGTATTTTATACGAGATGTCTCGAAAATAAAATTTCAAAGAATTTCCGCAGCTTTTATTTGACATTGTTCCGTTCCGCCGTCAAAACGCAGTGTTTTTTTGTTTGGCCGCATAAATTCATTGTTTTTTGTTTCATATATTAATACATCTCTTTTCCTTTGCCGTTTCTAATATCAGAGGCTATTCATATTTTGTTATTAACCCAGCGTCATCCGATAAGAACATGAATACATTTGGAGACTGAGTTCTAAAAAGTGAGATGCTCTGTTGGTTTTATTTTCAAAAAGGAAAGGTAAATTTGTACCCGAGCGGCAGACATGTTAAGAAAGCTGTGTTACAAAATTAAAGACACCTGTCGACAAAATTCATTCGTAAATGCTGCGCTCTTCATTTCTTTGCAGACATCATTTTACTGAAGAAAATTAGTATAAGGTACACCTTGGTCTGTTGATGTTTGTTATTTCATGTTGCGTTTTAAAAACTGACAACTCAAACACCTTTTACTTAAGATGTTAAAAGATGATCACTTTTGATAAGGCATTAAAAGCCTTAAGCAGGTATTTCTCTCTTAGACAAAAGCCGTAGGGTTTAAATCTCCGTTTAGTAGGCATAAAAACCGGATCTTTACGTGAGTGTGCAAAACGTCCAAACTTTCAAAGTTTGAAGTTACAAACCAGCTTTTTACATAAGCACGACTAACATAACTTTGTCAAGAAAAATACCATGCAGATGTTTGCGATTGGTTTTTATCACGCAAATACGACATCTAGTGCATCACACGTCGTATCATGTCCATTTGAGTGCTTATTCAAAAACTTCGTTTTAAAGCGCAGAAACAAGCTCTATTAGTTTACATTTTATCTTTGAAAAATTTAAGGCGAAACGACGAGCGATAAAACTGTGGAATATTGTTTTCAATCTGATACGAAACCATACGAAAATATTCCCGAGTCCGCAATGATTAATTAAAACGAAATTTGAATTGAAATAGAGGCGAATGACGTTTGCTTAGCAAGATAGACACAACTTCAAAATGTTCGCTGGTAAATAAATGTGCGTGTTTAGTTGACTTTGTCAACATTCTCAAAGCGGAAGGTAAACTGGGCCATGTAGAACATACGTTTTGTAAATTTCCAATTTTACCTTTTGGATTCTCGAATTTTAATTCATGTTAAGCTCTTGCCTCTAGCGAGAATAAACACCATCTGCACCTAAATATCCATTATTGTTCCTAATAGTGCATTATTTTCCCAGAAAAAAAAAAGATTGAATTTCTTGGAGCGATTAAATGTTTTCTGTTTGTTCGACTTCTCGTGATATCCATAGCATATCGATCTGCTTTGCGCCACTGAACAGTCATTTCTTCAAGTTTTTCGGCGGAAAACTTTGTTTTTCATAAGTAACATAAAGATCAAGGAAGGCGGAAAAATAATCGGTTAGGACTGATTTGCTTTGGTCCGATGAGGGTCTTTCTTTAAATAGCGAACGCAAAATGTGCTTTTAATTTTACTGGAAAATGTTTTTACCAACTGGTGTTGAAAAAGAAAAAAAAACGTCGAGGAGGTGTATCATAAATAAACAAATTGCCAAAAGGAAGGCATTGCATTTATTTCAAATTATTGACTAGTCTTTTATTTGTCGCCTCAGGGGATCTGAGGATTTTGGCTGTATTACAATAGAGTTTATCTGTTTTCCCGTCTAGGCTCACCTTTGGCTTGTTAGCTCGGTTGGTGGAGCACCCAGCTGTGTCGCAGAGGTCATGTGTTCAAATCCAGTACAGGCCTGAACTTTTTTCAGGTTTTATTTCAATTCACTACAGCTTAAGTAGTATTCAATACCGCGAAGATCACTCCGATATTCATTTCTTTACCCGCAGCTCACAGATATGATTTTCATATATTCACAGACATTAAGTCAATTTTCTATTGTTCCCTCTTTATATTCTGTTAATGCCGAGTGATCCCACTGCGTTGCCCATGAAAACAATGCGATTCCCTCCAAAGTCCTGCGACGTCCTTGACGGGGGTCGAAAACTTTCATTCTCTTGATAGTTAAGCACATTACAAAAGACCATCTGTTAACATATTCTGACGAGGGTTGTATTTCAATTGGAAGTTTCTTTGTAATTCACATGAAAACGCTTTGCATTTCATCTGAAAAGTGACAAACAAAAATTTCTGCACATTTCGCCTTCCCTTTAAACGACTGCATGGAATTTCTCAGTGCTATTTTGTAGAGACTAATTGTAGGTGTTTTTTTTTTTTTTTTTTTTTTTTTTTTTTTTTCATGCATGTCTAAGCAAATGCTATTCACCAATGTAAAACCAACCAAACTTCCCAAAGCGCGGGAAATTGCGCGCGACCAAGTCGTGATTGGTTTAAATTTTGCTTCTGATTGATTGACAAAGTAGCGCGAGATTTCTACACCAATCACATAGCAGCACATTCCCATTATTCTTACGCCGATGCTTATTACGATATTCGAGGGGGGGGAGGGTAACAATCGTTTTTCTGCAGTTTGTCAATGAATTGATGGCATCAAGATTTAAGAATGTTTCTGTTTCTCGAAAGAAAAAAATAACAAGAGTAGGGCAAGAAAAACCGTTTTTCATGAAATTTCCAAAGAAGAAGAACTGACTCAATGACTCGGAGAAATCAACAGCGTCCCCCCTGGATGCATCCTAAAGACAGTAAAAAAGTTCCCTAGAAGCATGAAATACATAAAAACAAACCAAAATTGATTTTAAAATACTATGCCAAATCTACGCTAAGGAATTCTTTGGTGAGCACTTTGTTGTTTCTTCTCATCTGGGGACCGCCTGAGGCAGCGGGATGGGGGGTTGATGACAAGAAGGGGGGGGGTTAATTATGTCACGTTAATAAAATTTACCTGATACACTCCCTCTTAGTTTCTATAGCATTCTTATGATCCCTCTCATTGTTAATTTTTTCATTGCCACATTTATACTCCCCTCCTGAAAACTATATAATTGCCCCAAAATTCTCCCTCCAACTCACCCCCACTCCTCTTAGTGATAAACAAAGACTCGTCCCTTAAAGAGTCCATCGAAGTTACACGACAGAAGAAATTATTTGTCATCTTTATTACCAGTAAGAAACCCGGTGCGTATCATAAGAGTGTATAGTAAATAGCTGGTTTTTAATAAATAAGTATTAATAAAGTTGAGTGAGCTAAAAAATTTTGAGGCTTGTCTATCCCTAATATCATCTTACATTTGCTAAAATAGCATATATGCGTAATCTTTGCTATTTGAAATAAGGAGCTCGTCAGGATTTCAAAAGAGCTTCGCAAATCTGAACCAATTACCTAAAAAGCAAGGCACACAACTAGCCAATTAGATTGAAAAGCCTATATACATAACAGCGGGAAAACGCACGTGACCAGGTCGTGATTGGCTTTGATTTAGTATTGGTTGGCAAGTCAACGATACATGTTTTTTCTGACCAATCACAGTGCAATGTAAACCAAGGCAAATTTTAACACGCAAGTGAAAACCTTTAAAATGATCATAGAGGAATGTAACTGAGATGACTTACGCCTAGAATTGACGGTCAAGAAATGATAACTTATCTAGTCCATTACATCCTTTTTTAATGTGCAGCAGCAGAAATATTACTCTCTTGTTAACATTTATTGTTTGAAGTTCGAATGCTCACAGATCGGTCCCAGTTATTCGTCGTAAGCATAAAAATCTTCATGTTTCTTTTCCCTGAGGAAACGAAACTTGTTTCCAGGTTATTCAATGTTTAATCAGAAGATTCATTTGCAGTCAGTTGCAAAGAACGAGTAATAAGGAGAGCTATAGTAACTTCCTACTGACCGAGCGTGAAGGCCGCATAGAAGAATATTGGCCCGAGGTCCTGGTAGAACAGACAGAGTGGAATGAGGTCCTTACAATAACGACTAAGGGTCGATATTCCCAAGAACGACTCGAGGAAGCGAGGTTAGTAATTATTAATTTTTTTTTGGCATAAAAAACGTGTTTTTGGCATAAAAAATGGATAAAACGTGTTTCTTTCGAATTTGCCGGCTTTCGCGAACAAATATCCGGCTAGTGACCTTTCCGTGAAAACGATGCGCACGGTAAAATACCGACCGAGTAAGAACCAATCAGAACGCTCGGATTTACCTCAAGACCACTTGGCCATATAATGATAAAGAATAACTTTCATTCATAATCTTATTGAACCTATGTTCGCTAACTACATCTCTTTTTTATCACTGGCAAGACCAGAATACGCCTTTTACTGATTGTAATTAAAAGGTAAAGAGTCTGTTCATAAAGAACGGAAAATTGTGTGTGTTACCTAGTAACAAAGAAACCCACGTTTTGGGTACGGACACATTACTTACTTCTTGCATTAATCATGGCCTGCCAAGCATGTCTGTCCATTTAGTCTCCATTAACAATCTTGGATTAAATCAAGTGATTAAGTGTATCACTTGTGACGTAGCTTACAACAACTCCCGGGCGCCACGTATTCCTGTGGTTCGGGTATGATATACCAGTGTATCATGGATGGGGGGCCTGTGGACCTTACGTTCGGGTAGTGCAGCTTGTGAGACAAAGCTGACGTTCACTCAGTGAAGAAATCTTTCTTCACCTCATATTTACAAGAAAAGACATTCGCTAGCAGACAGGGTCTCGTGTGCTGTAAAACTTCCGTGAGCCGAACAAAATTCGCATTAATTCAGCTATGTCACTCTTTTTACACTTGTCTTGCTTGTGAAGTTCTAAATAGATCCTTCTACCATCCTTTTGAATTGACGATTTCTGTTCGGCAGATGTCCTTTATAGATCCACGAAAAACTTTTCATAATTTTAAATTGTTGACAGTAGTTTTTTTTTTCTTTAGGGTTAAGCTTTTGAGTTCTTTCAGTGTCTTCTCACTGACACGTGCTGACAGTAATAGTTCTCTTGCATTTTTTGCACCTTACGTAACAGCACCACACGTACTCACATTCACAGCGCTCCTCAACGACTCGTGTAAACGTGCGGTGACCACGCCCACAACACATGTACGGACAGCTTCCCTTCCCGGTGGTGGAGGGATTGCATTCTCTTCCGACCGTTCCATAAGTCCCTCGGGACACCTTGCAGTAATTAGGAGACGCGTCCAATGCAATGAGGTCTCGGCTGTTGTACTTTTTTCCTCTCTTCGCCTTCAGGTAATGATTCTGACGGCAGTTGGTTTTGCTAACAACAGTGATAATGTTATCGTACTTTTTCTTGAGGAGCGTGGCAACGTCTTTAAATTCGCTCAGTCGCCTGAAGCAAGTTTTCTTCTGGCATGAGCCTGACACTCCATGGCATCTACAGATAGTCGCCAGTTTATCTCTCACAGCCTGAAATCAAAGAGAAGTTTCAAGAAACAGCGACGATACGGTAGCGAAGAGTACGTGTTAAATTACTGAATCGATCCGGACAGAGTCATATCAATATCTGTATTTCAACAGGAACTTGAATGTTCGGAGCGCTTAAGCTTCCAGGTCGACAATACGGTGACAAATAACCTAAATATAATTGGCTTTAGGTCAACACGTCTTCAAGGGCTTAGAGACTTTCGGCCTACTTAAGGAGAGACTTGTGTTTTAAAGGGCGTTACTCGACTGAATAAGTTTTGCTGTTGTCAAAATCATGTTCACATGTTCAACAAAAATTTATAACCCTCTGTCTGATAGAATAAAATCCAGATGTCCCTCTCTATCTGTGCGGTGATCCTTGTTTTAAAAGCTGAAGCTGTGCTTCGGAACTCTGTTTCACAACGGGGTACCTTGGAAATGTCAGTCTTCTATCTGATCATTAAACAGCATGCCTTGTTTGGCAGATACCGTCGGTAATTCCTTAAGAAATGCCTACAACCAGCAGCTTGATTTTGAAGTGAATCAAGGTTAACTACCTGAAATTCCTGTTGAAAGATTCTCTCAGTGTGAAACACGCATCTTTCGCGGAATGCTTTAACGTCAGCGCACATAGTTTGAATATCCATGAGAAAATATACATCCAAATAAATTTATAAAAATTGATATGATTAACCCTCGAAAGAAGTCCTCCACTTTTTCCGTTAGTGCTTACACGGCATTTATTTTAAGTTATGACAATATTATTAATCTTCATGTCAATTTTACACGTTACGATGTCTTCTTTTGTAAAAAATGTCAAACAAAAAGTAGTTTTTTTTTTTTCACTTCTTTATTCCTATTTATTGAAACATATTTGACTCAATTTTTGTATAGACTGTCCTCTTTCTGCCTCAACGGAAATTAATGCTCGGGAGAGCGTTTGAGTTCATCACAATCCTTTTATTGCCTTGCAGCAATGTTGAAATTATGTTTTCCCAGAAAATAATTGAACAACTTTTTCTGTGTATCATTACTCAATTTCAAGTCAATTTGTCGAAGAACACAGTAACGTTCGGTCACTGAAAAACCGGTTCTCTACTCCTAACAGTTTTAGGTTCGGTTTTGAAAGTGAACCTGGGAGAGGCCCAATTCTTTATCATTTGAATACAGCATATTTTTTCAAGTGACACAGAACTCTTTCACGCCATTCAAGTGCTTCTTAGCAAATATGATCTTTTAAAATGCCAGTAGCTCGAAGAATTTAATTACCACATTTCAAACCTAATCTAAAATTTGTGGGTAGGTACGCTTAATTCTTGTCATATCACATCAAATCAAAGTCCTAACGAACAACGAAACTTGAATTGACTCATTTCAGAAAGGATCGTTTCAAGTTCCTCTAACTTTACAACACTAGTTATAGGTGGTTTGCAACCAATCTCTAGAGACGCAGGTAACAATGGTGAAAGGAACAAATACTGGTGGACGAACAAAAGAAGTTAATGAGGTATCTATTGCTTACGCCACCAACATGGCGGCGATGATGTAACGTACAAACCACCTATTTGCCCTTAAATTCTAAAGAACTGGTCTCCCCTCTACCTGCTACACGTTTCCTTGTGAATGATTCACGAGAATTTGGTGTTAGATCAAGAAAACAACTTCCGCCTGATAAGTTTGAGTTTCTCTACCTCTTTGCTAGATAATGTATGATATTAAAGGAAGAAGTTACATGCTGATCACCTCTTAGAGTGAAAGGGTTAAAGTAGGACGAAACTCATTTGCACAAAAAATGTGACGGAGGGTCAAACGCCAGAAGAAATTCCCATTAACTAAGATCAACTGGAAAAACAAACCAATTATATGCCGATTAACAAGAATTTCATCTGTCATGGCTAGAGGCAGGTATAAAGTTTTCACGCTTTAAGCGGGTAACGTGTTAAGATAAGAACTTAAGTGGACGAAGATGTTCTCGGCCGTATAATTGTTTTTCCAGATAATGAATTCTTCTACCTGTTTTGGATCAAAACATCAACTGAAACCAATATTCTTGAAGAGGAAATCTCTATTCTTTTGTTCTCAGCTGGCCATTTTTCAGCTGTAGTAATACTTGGTTTGACGACGAACGAATATAACCTTAGAACCGTACATCATTCGTGAAAAGTTTAGAAAAAAACGTTTCCCCCTTCAAAGGTCGTTCCAAAGGCCGTTCCATCATAAGCGGCTGCCGATGTTAGGCGAAACCCAAACATGAGCCTGCATACCCGCTGGCTAAACAGACAGCGGTGAGATATCTTAGCAGGCGGTCCGGTAATCGGCTCTCATTGAAACTCCTAGTTTGAAGCACAATGTTGTAGAAGATGAACCTAGAAAACTTGAGATTGGGGTAAATGGAGTCGTGATTTCGCAACAATAACAAAAATCTGCACCAAAACATTTTTTAAGTCACGTTAGCCGCTATAGTAGTATACATACAGTTATCAGTTTGATATACTGACATTACGGGAAAGATATGACAACTTACAAAAAACAATTAAACTTTTCTGAGTATATTTTTAAGTTCATTCAACAAAAAAATAAAGCGTTATTGCCAATGCCATCAAATCTGCACTTTCTACGGATAGCCACTTAAGTAAAATGACAGAATAAATAAAAATGTAACCCCTCCAGGATTTGAAAGAATTTTAGCCGTAACAAGCTTTTCTCACGGCAAATATGTCGTCAGGATATTTGAATTCATTTAATCGAGTTCCTTTGGAAAGGAATGACATGGGAAACGTATTCTGTGTAATCGTGAGGACGAATAGTTGTGCATGAAAACCCCCGTTTTGTCAGTGAACGCGAAAACGGCCCGTTAATTTTGAATTATCTCTTGAGTTTCAGATGGCACAGAGGCAGAGAGGAGTAACTTCCGCATATGCTCTCTGTACCCCTTGAACAATGCTCATTATCAGTCTCTGGGCTTTTCTCTGTTGCGTTTAACAAAAACACATAGGAAAGACGGTTTAGCATTTGTCGCTAGTGTAAGACGAAGAAAACTCTGAGTTATTAGTGAAGCTTCAAACCCCCTATATTTCAGTTTTAAATGTCGCGTTCGACTGCTCCACTGATTGAGCTCGAAAAAATAGGCCTTGAACGAGGTCCGTGCCAGGAAAAAAAAATGAAGCTTAAGGCTTCACTTCTTTAGCGACTTATGTGAGGATTGATTGTGATTTATCCTTTAACAAAACGCTGGTTAAAAAATTTTCAGACACAGTACACTGCACAAGATAGTGTTTTTTTTTTTTAAACACTAAATTGCGTTGTACATAATTGTCAAAAGAGACATTCTTGTCGACAAAATCAACCCAGCTATCACTTTGTTATTTATACATTGACCTACAATAAGTCATGTCAAAGAGGTTTTTCTTTGCAACACGCAAAACAGAGTTAGTCATTTAAAGCTATCAAAAGAAATCAATCTATTCCACAAGTGGAAATCGGCACACTGCTGGGTTCAGTTTGCTGAGGTGCTGGTTGAAGAGCTCCCCAATGCTAAAAAGAAAATTTTCGTGGTGTCATTTAAGGATACTTCGCAAATAACGCGCGGAATCTTTTCAAAGATGTCAGAAGCAGTTAAATAGAGACTGAAAGATAACGACAAAAAAAAAAAAAAAAAATTGACCAGATTTTAGACAGGCCACTTTTGACGTAACGATAAAGATCTTTTGGCGGACTTTTGGACAAGACAAACTTTTATACATAATAAAATGCAGGTATCTGAAACACATTGTTTGACTCAATTCCTGTATTTCAAATATTTTGTGGGAAAGATTATATAAAGAAAGCTGTTAAGTGATCTCCTCGATAGAATGATTCGCGCAGTTAACAAGACTGATTCGTGCGGCTTTATCAACAATAGACTCTTCCAGCTTTTGTTGTTTACAATGGACACCAACTCGGAATGGCCACTTTATGCTGCTCAGACGTGCCTCTTAGGTTACATTGTAAAAGCTCGATTTTTTTCGAATTGTGCAAGACAAAGGCTTTCTATTAGAACAGGACTGCAGAAAGACGTCATGTATGGAGTTGTACGTTGTGTATTGATCTGTTTTGAAAGTCCTTAAAAACCGGAAGAGGAACCTTTTTAGAAATATCAGTTTCAGACGGGTAGACACTAACTACAGATTTTACTTATGATGCACGCAAGCGAGCTCAGAACTACCTTCACCGAAAAAAAAAAATATTCCAAATTTGACCAAACGTAACAATCCGCCAAAATATCACGTCAGAGCTACTCTACAGACTTAACCATGGCATGGAAAACATTTTTTTCAATGAACAAGAGAAAGTAATGTTGAAGGTGTGCGCAAACTTGAACTTGGCGTAAATTTAAAGTAACTGATTGACATTCCGTGGACACGATTTTACTACCAAACAATAATCTTTGTTTTCTAACATGTTTTTACTTAAAGCAAGGTCATGGATTTTTCCGCTTAAATTTCGCAGGGTTCAGATGATCTGAAAACATTTAACAGATTGTTTACCACTAATTAACACCGCGCACACCGAGGGACGCAAAATTTCGTCACGCGAACCTAAACAGAAAGAAATCCGCAACAGATCTAGCCGGACAAAGAAAATAAACAAGAGCTTAAAAATTTGAGTAAAAAACTAATGACTTTTTATTGTTCTGGATCAGTATTTCCTTTCAAGTCGAAGAATGCGAAAAATTTTAAGCTGATCTGACAATTTATCATTTGTAAAACAAATCTTTTCTTACTTCGAAAAAAAAAAGAGGAAAGCGAAGTTGAATTCACATGAACTAGTCCATCTTGGTTCTACATCGAAATATAGGCTATACTGTGATTTTGGCAGCATTTTAATCATTCTAATTATCTTCAACTTTAACCATTAATTTTGGTTTCCTTCTCTTCGTTTTTTGTTTTCCTCGTGTTGGTTAATTGTCGCTGTTTCCCGGGGAAAAAAGTGCCTTTCGCTACACAAAAGCAATCGGCAAAGAAAGACCATAAATGTAAAACACGTATGTATTTAGTACATACCACACAAGAGAATAATGCTTTTCGTGTGCGGTGATTGGCTAGTTCGGAAATGAATAGCAAGTATTATTCACCTTCACTTAGGTGAATAATTGTCGAATATCCCGCGTCGCGTGAAGGGAAACGTGGGTAGCACATACATTTTTTTTTTCCACGCGATGGATCTTGTTGGAAAAAAAAAGGGACTTCGTGTGGGACTTTCTTCTTTTCCAAGAAAATTGATTAGATTTGTTTATCTCGCTTTGGAGGTAATTTTTTCACGTAGCAGATAAGAACCCATAATATTTTGATTGCTTTTTGTCGAAGAAATCAATTAGTTTACCATTGTCACAGGAAAATTTCTATCTCTTTTTTTTCTTTTTTTCAACCACTGATTCTCGCTGAATGATTTACTCTGAAATAAACTGTCGTAATCGACCATATTCTGATGTTTCTCTTGATAATCACACGGGGTGCCTCTGTTTTCAATAATGACAATCAATACGCGGAGTGTTCCTGTTGGTAAAGAAAACTTAAAAAAAAAAAAAACGAAGAACGCCCAGATTGTTTTAAGCCTACACCTCGTTCGTTTGAATTCAGTTGAGAATCTTAAATAATAATAACCAAAGATGATACCAATAACAGTTGATAATAGCTGTGGAATAGTATCAAGCTTTCGAACGTTCAAAGTGATTGTGTTTGCGTACCAAAGACACTGTCGAAGACACGGGCGCTTATAATTAGAACGCGAGTGACCCTAATCACAAACACACATTTCTTGCTTAGTCATCTTGTCAAACGCACTAGATTACGATATGAAAAGCTCGCATTCATGTATGTCGATAGGCTATCTCACCATCAATCACTATTTTTAGGACAGCTATGATGACACAAGCGTCTGACGAGGTCAAACCTTATAGCAAGGTATTTTATCAAAACGAACACAATGATTGAGCGTAGAAATGTGTTTTCCACATTAAGCAGTTAATTCAAAGCAATTGAGATTTGATCTTCCTTGAGCCTAGAACAACACTGATAATTTAAACATTTCGTCACTTGTGTGATAGTCGGATTTTAATCGCTAAACATGGTTTGCCTTGAATCTGCAGGAAAATCATGTCTTCTTTTCTGATTCTGTGAAGCCAAATATCGTGGACGTTGCGATATTCACCACTGAACCTTAAATCTACTCGCATAATGAGACCTTACTCTTCAAAATGTTCAAACTCTGTTTTCTTAATACCCATCTCGTCATATCATTTCAGTGCATGCTAGGAGAAGATACGAGTAATCAGAAACAAAGATGGTTCTATTAAACATATGTTGACCATATTCTCTGTCTTGTAAACAGGCCCTCAAGAGAAACTTCAAGACAAAGCGGAAGTCACTAAACCCTCTGTAACCCCCTTCTAAACTTTATTAATCATTTCTATCTCATGACATACAAGGTGTCACTGATGATTCGCACAGGTCAGTACGGTAAAATATCAACACTCTCTTACCGTTCTACCCGCTTCGTTATTTTGTATGTTCATCAACGCTCGGCTGGCCGCTGCGGGTTCTTGCCCATCCATTCTTTTCTTCTCCACGGCGTCTGTGAACTTCTTGCTAAATCGCACTCCATACGCAATGTTGTCACTGCACCCACCCCATAGCCAATCTTTATTTTTTAATTTCGTCTTCGGTGTTCGACCGCAACCACAATTCTCCTTCAATCGTCCAATACTACAGGCTTGAGTCACGCTGTAAACTACAGCGGCCGAGGACAACGCGTATACGAACGCTGACTCTTTGGTTCCTGTAAAAATGAAGGCATCAAGGCCCTTTTTGTTAATCACGGTGCGGGTAATTAAATGGGCACGTTATCGCGAAAGTCTGTGTTCTCTATTATTTATTTGTTTACGCAACAGTCATTTACGTCAGCCGAAGAGTAAATATTTGCTTTGAGAGGAAGTTGGTCTTGGATATAAGGCGACCTTTTCAAAAATAAGTTAAGTTGTTTTTCAGATGTAACTGAAATGCTCGACTACGAAATTACTATGCGTACCACGTACTCCGTAGGCAGAAGGATGTCTTTTTTCATTGAAATCTTCGCCTTTTACCACGTGGTAAACCAAAAAGTTTCCTTCGAACCAACCCTCTCCATTTTGTCAACTTCCGAGTGAAAAACCTGACTTCAATTTCAGGTTTCCTGAATTGGTGCGGAAACGCTAGTCAAAACATTACATATCCATTCTGTTTGCGAAATAGCTTTGAGATTAATCGTATTTGAGTTAATGGATTTGTTAGTTGAAAACATCGAAAGGACGCAATCAATTCAAACAAAAAATTGTAGCAGTACTCGATCATCCATTCGAGCTCTGCATAACGCAAATGTCTTTTTAGGGTACGTCAAGGTAATTAAAGAGATGAAATATTCAGAACTGATTTGTCTATAAGCGACAAGGTGGCTCGAGTAATTGAAGGCTCTATTTGACGTGCTTTGAGTGTTCGAGTCAATTTAAATAGTTGAAAAAGGTGCAACACTGATGAGTTTTGAAATCGCTTTGTGCGCTTAAATTATTGAAAACCTGTCTGGTTCTCAAAAATAATAAAACCACTACTTCCGATAACGAGGTTTTAAAGAAAAGCCCAAATCTTTGTTGTACACAAGGCAACCTGTGTTGTTTTCTAAAACGAAATCCATACATATTTCGCGCAGAAACGAGTATTTTACTGGAAAGAAATACCATTTTCTTAAGTCCTCTTTTCCAATGATATTTCTCCACACACAATCCAAAAAGCTCCCCTGGTTTTTATCATCGATTCTCTTTTCATAACTGTGGATACGAGATTTAGCGATAACCGCACTCAAAAGTTGGTCGGGTTTCAATTACTAGCCCCGAGCGATTTTATGTACAGCAACGATCATACAATTTACAAAATAACCTTCGAAGAATTGCATGTTATCTTGGATGTGAACATTTTGTTACCCCAAACCCAGTCTAGCTCCGGCATCTACACGAATGAAGTGATAGGAATGAAGTTTTGGCGTAATGGTATTATTCTGACAAAAAACAACAGTAAGAAATCTCAATTGTTGCTTACCTCTCTTGAGATCGTTGTAAAACGAAGGAGCTTGTGAGATGGTTGTACAATTCCATCGTCTGTTCTGTAACTGCGATTTACACTCTTTCTTTGTCATCTCCGCAGCTTCGGAGATATATCTCATGATAGGCAAGCTTCTTCTACAAATTTTATACTGGCCGCCAATAAAGCCGTGTACTTTGCTGCAATTTGTTTTCTGCCATTCAACATCTGAAGGTATTTTTACTGCCCTATGTAACAACAAAAACAGAGAAGTCACGAATGGAATACGAATCGTATTATTCGAGTATAATCCGCATAGAAAACACAGTACTTCGCACATGCACCTCAATTGAAAAATTAATGGACGAAATCCAGAGGTCAAAGAGGGTTGGAGAAGCAATTCACTTATGCTACTTACAACCAGCGTATTCCATGAAGCTTCCCTACGAGTATGTTTAGAAGTAACAGGACTGCAGCTGTACGAAACAGAATGTACATGTTGTCCTTGTTGTCCCGGGTCAGTCCAGTCCAGTCCACACAAATAACAAACTCGAGACCTGCCAACCAACAGAGACGCGAATCTAAATAAGCCGTAAGCTAATCAATACCAGAAGATTTCATATCAAGTGATAAAAAATTTTTCCCGATGGCTACCCGACTTGGGTTACATCGCCTGGGCACATGCATGACCCATGCCGTGCTGAATGTCAAAATGGAACCAATACTTTTTGGACTAGCACATACGCAGTAATATTCTGCTCGCGGTGAGGTAAAAACCCAAATGGCACAGCTTGAAGAGGAGATCGATTATTTATACAAAAATCAGCTCAAATGTGCGTTGCGCTCCTTGAGAAGCAGTTGTTTAATCCGACCTAGATCGGTTACTCGAGTGTTTTATAACTAAAAGTGCACTCGCAATTAACGACACATCCACTTCTTGATCTGCCCCGCCCTGGCTGGGTGTCAGAGGCTGTTTCTAAACTGCTTTCAACAGTACCGCTTTTGTTAATTCTCTCTGGTTTCCGTCGGGGGAGCCGTGACTTCAGAGACTAGCTTAGCTTACGTCCATAAAAAAATGTGACAACAATGTTCCGCGCACGTAATTTGCCACCTATTCCGAGTGCTTGGATACTCCTTCAGAAACGTACAACCGGCAAGGCTATTAAAATAAATCGCCTTTCGTCTAAGATTTCGTCTCGGCAATATTTATTAAAAAACGCCTTTCCTTTTCTTCCTCGCCATATCCTTTTCCTGAAGGGAAAAGCGGGGACCCGTTGAAACAGCGCTGCATGCCCGTCGTTCGTTGGCAAAGCACTTCACGAATAAACACTGGCAACCTTTCACTCTTGGCCAAAATGACGTATGTTTAAAAGTTTGGATAGGATCGACTCCTCAGATATCACAAAAGAACCGTGAGATTCAATAGATAAAATCAGGATAAGAACTTCGAGATGAATTTCGTTTCTCGTGTGGATATGACATGACGCGTTGAAAGCCTACTGAAATCTTACGAAGCGTGCTGAGAGAAACCCCTTCATGGTAAAAGATGCATAGAGGGTTGCTTGGACGGCCTTAAGAAGCTGTTAATTGGAAACAAATTAAACCACTTATCAAGCGCGAGAATTTTTATCGTACGCTCGTCAGGGTAATCTGAAAATATCTGAGCGTCTTTCGTTGACCACAAATCTGTTTGGGGAACGACTGTCCAAGTAGAGAGGGGTCTCCGACGTAACACGGGTGAAGAGTTGTCAGTGCCATTTGACCAACTGAAAGTAGATTAGTGAAGTCTCAGAGGGACCGCGTTTGAAAGCCCTGAGGTAACATAACCGATTCACAATGAAAGAACTGGCTGATGGAATGTGTTAGATCATGCAGTGAAATCTGGGAGGTCGCTAATTAAATATTTCATTCAGCTTCGAGTTTGTACTGTTATGAATTAGATAAGTTCTCTGTTACTCTTAAGAGCTTTGCTTTGCGTTTGGTATAACAAAGAAGCTATTGTTAGAATGTCATTGAGATAAAAAGCTTAGAATACGCCGAGAATAGTCGCGAAACTCAACGGGGAGTTACCAAATTTACTTGTTCCTAATTAAAAAACAGTTAACAAACTCGAGGTGCGAACATTGGGTTTTCGTGATAATTCGCTAATGCTCTTTCCTTACAGGGAGCTTGCGTGCGTTTGTTCTCGAAAAGTCACGAAATCCTTCATACTTCTCTAAATGTAGTGTATTACCATCATTTCAGCTGTTAAGGATGTTTTCATTTCTTCAAGTCGAGTGTTTTTGAATGGCCCGATTGCGCTGCAGAATTGATGCGTTCATGTCGGTTCTTCCACATCGTTTCGCTTTTCGATTCAATAGAAGAGTGGTTTTTTAAGATAAACCTCTCTCCAACGCATTCTGATGATACGAACCTAATTATTGCAAACATCACAGAACTCTGTCATAATCTGTACCTTAAAATTACAATCATTGTACACGGTATTGAAAACCGATCTAGTTAATCTACACCAAGGACCCCTTTGGAGTTGAAACTACTTTGATGTTTGAATGCAGTTCTAAATATAACATAGTGGTTTTTTTTCTTAAGAGATAATCAATCCATACAAGGAGAATACAGATTAACAAATTGACAGTAAGTCTTGATATTAAAATTCGGTCTGATTGAAGTCTTAAGTTTGCTCTTGACGTACTTTAGATGGATATAAACCACTTAAATTGTTCAAATCACGTTTGTTATCAACTTCCTAGACTTGATCACGATTATCATAAAGTTTAGTTTCTAGAGGAAAAAAAAACTGAGAACCGCCCAGGAAAGATAATGGATTTAAGACGTATGATGTACGTGTAGCGTAGGCCGTAAAAATTGTCAACAATTTACGGAACGCAAAAACGATTGCAAAGGCAGTTTGACCGCACAAAGATAACCAGTGACTAATTGTTGTTAATCATACTATGTAGGACAGAAATGATTTACTTTAATTTCCATTTTTTAAAAAATTACACTTCCAGGAAGTTGGCACTCGATGTGCACTTCTTACGAGACAGCGTTTCGACATTAAAAATTTTGTGGATATTAAGTTTTTCCTTCAAAACTGCGCTATCATTTGCCCCCATCTAGCAAGTAACTGCTTTCTCTGTTAATCATCTGCTGTTTTCTCGTAAAAATAACTTCCCATCCCTTATTTTGGATATTCATTTTGGGAAGTGTTAGGTTGCGGTTGTTAGAAAGCTTACGTTAATCTCCTAATTCTGTCTCGCCTGGACGTGTTGTAACTTTCCTTGTTACGTGAGATTTCGTACTTTGCGCCAGGTGATACACTTTTCTTCACAGCCATACGTTATGAGCGAGCAGAAGTCGGGGAGCATGCCTTTAAATGCTGAAGTTGAACATAGAAATCAATGAAAACATCTTGTGCTAGGAATTCACGTTAAAATATTTTGATACCTTCTCGCAATTTTGCTTTATTTTGCTTTCAAGAGGAGACAAATTGCATCATTTACAGAAACATCTAAGCATGATTGAGACTGTTCTTGTTTTGAAGAGACACAAGATCAAATATGTGGACATGAAAGCATGCTATTCAGACAGAGATCATTCTTCCAGAAAAAAAAATAATCATTACCTGAGGTTATCATGAAACTAGGGATTGCGGTTTGAGACTCTCGTCGCTACCATTATCACAAACGCCTCCTTATTCCGCAAGAATTACAATACCGCACAATTGAAAATATATACAGGCATTAGTTTAAGCAAAGCGGTCAAACTGTGGGGCACTCCTCTAAAGTGCGTCATTCAATTCCCCGTCTCCAGAAGGGAGGAAAGGATTTTCTTGGTGATATTTTTTAAATTTGATGCGCTAGGTACAGTTTGTCACCTTTTAAGGGAAAGATGGAAACTACCGGAGATGTCTAACATAGCTGAGAACGTTCAGAAGATGTTTTGATGGCTGAGTTGTGCACTCGAATTCAGAGCGCCCTGTCGTTAAGCTTAGCGCAGAATAATCCAGTTATTTCCAAATAAATTTGTGTTATAGGTGTAGACATAATCTGTATACGTAGTTGTTCCCAAACACTGTTGACTGACATTCGCAAAATCATCAACATCTGTGAATAAAAATTATCCAATTTTCACATTAATTACTTTTTCAATTTAATCTGAAATCAATAATAATGAAGATATCGTACTCTATAGGGTGTAGGTTCTTAAACAAATCTGGAAAACCATAGTTCCTTAACTTTTGTGATTTATAATTACGATATCTACAGCTTCATCATCAAATCTCCATTGAAGTCGAATGAAGGACTCAAATTTTTTATAGGATCTAATAAAATCGTCATTGGCGGATGTGACGTGTTTAAACAGCAGTAGCATACCATGATGCACGAGTTTAAAAGATCATATGACCTTTATTAACAAATATGATCATAGCAGAAACAAACAAATTGTTCGTAGAGAGAAAGAAAACCAAATGTGAGAAGATCGAGAAAAAGAAATACTCGGCAGCTTTACAGATTTCCGTAGAAACTTTGGTAAACAGAACGACTCTGCAAACAAAAGGCTTAGCAAAAAAGGATTAACTTTGCGGTTTTCTTAAAGATAAACTCCCTAGGAAGAACTTGCTGTGAAGTTTTATGTGGGTTATTTCTTTCCTCGAGACGCTTTCCGATTCCAAACAATCCTAAACTCCTTAGTACATCCGATTCAATAGCAGGAAATGTGTCTTTAGTCGAGAATAGTGTCGAAAACATGGGAACACAAACTCAAAATACCGAAACAAAGAATAAAATTCAAAAGGTTTTAAATCCGTTTTTTTTTTTTTTGTTTGGGAGGGGGAAGGAGATAATTTTTATGGGAGAGCCTCTTGGTTCGTTTGGAAGATAATATCAGTAAAATAACGTTTGTACAAGATGTTAAATATAAGAGTGGTATGGTCTTCCAGGTAAGGAAATCTGTTGGATATTTCAAGGCAAACTTCTCACAGACGTGTAAAGTACTAGAAAATCCTTGTCAAAGTAATAACGTGGTGGTCGTGAAGGGGAGAGAGTTGGTGATAAAAGTACAAGCTATATTTAGTCGTTTCAGAAACATTTGATCTAAATTTGTAAAGAAATCATACGTTAATCTCCCAGTTGGTCTTATTTGTGCCCAATTCAGTTCATCTTTGAGATTCTTCGATTATTCCAAAAGAAACAAACACCTGCCCTTTTAAAGAATTTCTTTGTGGTCGTGTGACAGCTAAGATTTATTACACTCAAGAAAAGGCTAGGCTGTCATTGACATAATCCTAATCACAGGAGGCCTTATGACTGAGTGCTATAGCGCCGGCGAACAAAGTGAAAAGCTCGCTTTGGTCTCCCCTCAAAAGCAGTACTGACGAAGACTTATCAGGGTGTGGTCTAACGGACGGTCAAACGGCACACATTGTGGAACTCGTGAACAGTTCATCAGCAATGTCTTTTCTTTGGGCTCTTTTGGAGGAGTACCCATATTACAATGGTAATCAGTTTAGAAAAATTGACATTTTGACTACTTAGAGAAAATTTTCCTATCGAAC